CATGGGGGCAGCTCTCCGGCATGAGCTGCACCAGAGCTGCTCTGGGTGTTTTAGGCGGGGGGAAATGTGGGGAGCATCGTCGTGTCCCCATGCCTGGGGGGGCTTTTGGTGGATGACGGTTTGCAGGAACTCCATTTTCTTGGGGTGCTTTGCTGTGTTCCCCCAGGAAACCATACCCAGCCCACCCCCTCCTACATGCTCCAGACATCCTTCCCACTGCCGATTTACTTCTATTTTATTGATTTTTGTTGTGGGGGCTTTTTTGTTGTTGTTTTTGTGGGGTTTTTTTGCTGCATTTCCATCGACTGCCTTGGACAGGGAGGGTCCATACATCCCCAGTGCCCCTCCAATTTTTAGGGGTCCCATCCAGGGACATGGCGTCTCATGCTGGCCACCAATGTGCCGGCCCCTCCTGGGAAGCGGCCAGCCCTGTGCCGGAACGGGATGGCCCCTGGGAAAAACGCCCTGTGTCGCTGTGGGGTTTTAAAAAAACACGATTATTTTTACAGCAATTTTCCATCTATTTTGGGTAGGGAGGAAAACGTGGAGGGGGAATCTCTTTGTTATTGTTTTTTGAGTCTTTAGGATAACTCTGCTTTTAACACGCACCTTTGAATGGCGAGGACACCAGAGGTGCTGAGGAAGGTGGGCTCTGCAGCCGTCCCTCTGTCCATCCATCCATCTGTCCATCTGTTCTGCAGTAAAAACCATCGATAAATCCGTGCTCAAATAATCACTGCTGTTTGCTGGGCCAGGAAAACATGCCGGCACGGTGGCTGAGGATGGGCTGCTGGGGATGGGGATGGCTCCAGACCCGCTGCCAGATTGAATTCCATCTTCTCCCCTGTCATAAGGAAAATTTTCCAGTTGTGCATCGCTTCCATCCACGCCTGGGTATTTGAAGGCATAAAACAGGATGGGGCCAGGCAGCAAGATGGAAAATCCCCTCTCGGTGAGGTGGACCCCGAAAGCTGTGACCAGCTCCTTAAATATATGCTGGCTAGAAATATAGTGCATGTATTGCACTAAATATATGCTGACCAGAAAGCATCTTAAATTGCGGGCTGCAAAGTATATGTTGGCTAAATAATTTTTTTGTCGGCGGATTAACGTGGCACTTTAGAGCCGGGTAGCTGCTTGCTTCTTTTAAAAAAAGGGGAAAATCAGCCCGAGAGAGAGCTCTCTTCCTATTTCTGACAGGCAGTGCTCCGGGAACAAGCCCTGCCCGGTCCTGCCTGGCTGTGGGGTCAGCCCATGGTGAGGGGGCTTCTCTCTGTCTGTTCCCCCCCCCAAAAATGATGCGAAGCCCCCTCCGATGCTGCCTGGCTTAGGCAGGAGGGTGGAAGCCGGCAGCTGGCACACTGCCCAGGGATTGTTTTGGGGCTGAATGGGCGGCAGCCGGGGTTTTCCGGGGATTGGAAACCCTTCCCCATCCGCTGTGCTAGCTTGGAACGGGGGAGGGGGAGCACCACAGTGTCGTGGCTGCCTTCTGCAGGGACTGGTGGCTGCTGGTGGCTGTCGTGCTGCTGGGAGCGGGCAGGAGGGCCCTGGGACGTTGTTCCCTTGCGGGCAGGGTCAGGCACAGCAGGAGGCTGGGGGCAGCTGGCTGGCGCCTCACCCCAGGGATACTCTTGCAGGGTCTTCTTTTGCTGTGTGCCTCAGTTTCCCTGTCTGGGCACCCATCGAGGAAGGGGATGGTGAATGCAGCCAGCCCTGATCACTGACCCTGTAGCATGGGGCGGCGCTGTCAGAAACCAGTGGTATTTAATGGAAAAAAATGAAGGGATGCAGCGAATCCTTCCCCCAGCTGTGGGCAGGAGGTGCCAGCACTGACCACGGACACTGGCCGGGTGACGTGTCAGCATCACCTGGGCGCCGGCAGGGTGGGCAGGGCCG